GGGGGAGGCGGGTGCAGCAGGGTCGTAGACGTCGGCAGAGGAGGGAGGCGGGGGAGGAGCGGCGATAGGAGGGAGGAGAGGCGCGGGAGGGAGAAGAGGGGGGAGGACGGTGTCAGTCCAAGCGAGGGGACGAGTGGGAGGGGGGAGAGGGTCAGGGGGAGGAGTGGAGTAGTAGGGAACGGACTCGTCGAAGATGACGTCGCTGCTGCGGATGAGACGATTGGTGGGAGGGTGGAGGAAGAGGTAACCTGGGGAGTCACGATTGTGCCCGAGGTAGACGCATTCCAGGGCACGAGGAGCGAGTTTGCCAGCAGCGCGGGAGCGGTCGGCCGGTGGAATGAGGACGAACGCCTTGCATCCCCAAACACGAAGGCCAGCAGCGTCAGGCTTGGCCTTGGACCAGAGTTCTGTGAGGGAGGAGGAGGGATGCTGAGGATGGGAGCGGGGATTGAGGAGGAGGGCTGCATGAAGGAGGGCATAGCCCCAGAGAGAGGGAGGGGTGGAGGCGTGAGCAATGAGGCAGCGAGTGATTTTGGTGATCTCACGAATGCGACTCTCAGCGATGCCGTTTTGCTGAGGGGAGTGGGGGAGGGTGGAGGTCTGCTGAATGCCATGCGTTTTGCAGTTAGAGGAGAGGGTATGATTGATGAACTCACCCCCACCGTCAGAGTGAAGACGGCCAATGGGGTGATTGAAGTGGTTGCGGCACAGCTCAGCCCAGTTGATGACCACAGCCGGCACCTGGTCTTTCGTGTGAAGAAAGAAGACGGTGGAATACCGACTGTGGTCGCCAACGGGGACGAGCATGTACCTGTGCCCGTGACGGGAGCGGATGGGATATGGACTCAGAGATCCATGTGAACAAGGTCAATGGGGGCGGGTGCAAAGGTGGGATGACTGTGGTGGGGAGATTGTTTGAGCTTGCCATGAATGCATGAGGGGCATGGGGGAGCAGGGGATGAGGGGAGGGGAGGTAAGGTGGGTGGAAGGCTGTGAAGGAGGCGGGAGGTAAGGGTGGTGCGAAGTGCGGTGAAGTTGGGATGACCGAGCCGCAGAAGTACGGCTGGGTGGGAGAGGGCAGTAGAGGAGGAGGGGGATGGGGTGAGGGAGGAGGAGGGGGAGGGAGAGGAGGATGGTGGGATAAGGGAAGCGAAGATTGACTGAGGGGAAGGGGGAGGGGGAGGAGGGGAGGGAGGTGGACCGGTGGAAGTGCCAGCACGTGTGGTGACGTGGCAGAAAGATGGGGGGGGTGTGCGAAGCGTGTAAAGGCGAGTGCGAGGGCAAAGGGGAATGCGGAGAAGGAAGCGACCAGAGGCTGTGTGGTAGAGATCACAGTAGGTAGCAAAGCCCGGGTACATAGCGGTGATACCAACACCTTGGATTTCACGGTGGGAGAGGAGGTTGTTGCGGAGGGTAGGGATGTGGAGACCTGTGACTTTACCAGAGGGGAAGGCTGTGCAAGGGAGAGTGGAGAGGTGAGTGCAAGGAACGGAAAAGCTGGAGTCAGCGCCATGAACTTGGGTGGGAAGTGGCAGGGGGGTGAGGGTGCCAGCGTCCTTAAGGGCGGTTTCGGTGGCCCCACTATCAAGGACAAAGTCCAAGGTGGGGGAGGAGGGAGAGGGGGGTGACACGGGGTACTGGAAAGATGTCTCATTGATAGCAGAGGGATACATGGAAGCGACGGAGGGTGCAGTAGCAACATGACCAAGAAAGCTGCCCTGAGAGTTAGGGACACTGGGGGGGGCAGAGGGGAGGGAGCCCCAGGGGGGGGGGAGCAAGGGCGGCATGCGCAGCCATGGCCGCTGTGCTGAAGGTCATTGGCTGCTGCTGCCACTGCGGCGGAAGGTGCTGCGGCGCCTGCTGCTGCTGGAAGAACTGCTGCTGCAGTGGCTGTTGCTGCTGGGGAAACTGCTGCTGCTGCGGCTGGAGGAACTGCTGATGCTGGAAGTACTGTTGCTGCTGCTGGTGCTGCTGAAACTGCTGCAACTGGGAGGGGGAGGAGGGGGTGAGGTGGCAGAGGTGGCAGGGAGGAAGGAGGGGAGGCTTTGGACGTCCGCGAGGGAGGGACGAGGGGTAACACTGTTCCAGCAAGGAGGGGTACCAGTGTTGCCGCGATCAAACTAGGCGTCATCAAGTGCCTTGAAGCATGTGGCAGGGGGATGGTTGGTCTGACCACAGGGCGTGCCGGCATGGGGGCCATGACGGCGGACATAGGTGTAGGGCGGAAGAGTGCCCGGGCGACCTCCACGGCTCACAGCACCACTGGCCCCAGCAGGACCTGCAGGAGTGGTACCAGCACCTCCACCACCACGGCCACCTCGACGACGACCACCACCACCACCCCGACCACCACCACCGCTGCCCCCACCACGACCTCCACCGCCTCCGTTGCGACCACCCTGGTTGCGCGGCTGCGTAGCATTGAGGGAGCTGGAGGAGGAGGACTGAGGAGTGGTGAGGTTGACCATGGGGGTGCGGAGCTTGACCTCCGTGTCAATGATCCACTAGACCACCTCGTCGAGGCCAGCCATGGGATTTACCTCAGTGAATGCGTGCAGGCGGGACTCGTAGTCCGGGGTGAGGTTGTAGAGGAGGCGATGGATTTGTAGTGGCTCGGGGAGGGCAGCTTGATGTGCTGCAAGGCGACCAGCGACCTCCTGCACGCGCCCCACGTAGTCGACTGCGCCGTCACAAGTGGCGAGGGTGATGGAGAAGTACTCCTGGAAGAGGGCGCCGACAGAGCTGATGTCACGACGCTCGAACATCGCAAATTAGGGAGGCGCGCATTTCGCGAGCTTGGAAGCGGCGCATGAGGGTGTCGGGGAGCGCATCGAGGAGGATGGTGCAGGCGTGGTGGCGGGGATCGCGGGCGGCGACGTGCAGTCGCGGCGGTGGGGATCGCAGGCGGCGACGTGAAGTCGCGGCGGCGGGGATCGCAGGCGGCGACGTGCAGTTGCGGCGGCGGGGATCGGCGACGTGAAGTCGCGGCGGCAGGGATCGCACGCGGCGGGACGGGCAGGCGGCGACAGGGCAGTCGCGGCGGCGGGACGGGCAGGCGGCGACGAGTAGTTGCGGCGGTGGGACGGGCGGGCGGCGACGAGCGGTCGCAGCAGCGGGATGCGCAGGCGGCGACGCGAAGTCGCGGCGGCGGGACGGGCAGGTGGCGACGAGGAGTCGCGGCGGCGGGATGCGCAGGCGGTGACGGAGGGGTCGCGGCGGCGCAGTCGCGGCGGCGGGATGCGCAGGCGACGACGCGAAGTCGCGGCGGCGGGACGGGCAGGCGGCGACAAGCAGTCGCGGCGGCGGGATGTGCAGGCGGCGACGGAGGGGTCGCGGCAGCGAGGTTTGCAGGCGGTGACGTGGAGTCGCGGCGGCGGGAGGAGGGGACAGCGGCGATGCGGTTGCGGCGGGGGATTCCGCAGGCGAGGGAGGCGCAATCGCAGCAGGAAGGGGGAGCGTCGGTGACGACTTAGGTCGCGGGGAGGGAGAGAGAGAGGGCGGCACTGTAAGGAGCGTTCGCGGGGAGGGGGGGGGAGGTGGCGACGTAGGGGCCGCAATGTAGTGTATGCTAGTGATGGCGAGGTAAGTCACGCTTAGGAAAGGTGTTGTAGCTGTGGGGTGGGCCCATGGGAAAAAAAAACTGGAAGGAGGGAGAGGTAAGGCCTAGGAACAACTAGCTCTATACCATGTGAAAGTGGGAATTGGAACCAATGACTAGATTGGAGTAGAAACAAAGCATACATAGTTGGAAGAGAAGCTTGGAGGGGAAAGGTAAGTTTGACCATTGGTTGGGTTGGCCTCACTTTGGGAAGTGAGGGAACCTTAGGTCAAGTGGGTTGGGTTGGCCACGCTTTGTGGAAGTGAGGCAACCTCAGGCCCATTTGGGTTGGGTTGGCTCAACTTGTGGGAGTGAGGCAACCTCAAGCCAAGTGGGTTGTATTTGGTGGATTGACACCCCAAAGTACAAGACTACACCCAAAGTTGGGTGTAGTCCCAACCCAACTGTACACCACAATTGGTGTACAGTCACAAGTGTTGGCATGCTACAAAATATATTTCTAACAGTGAGTTGATGCATGAGGGTAAGGTGAGGTGATGCATGAGGGTGAGGTGATGCATGAGGGTGGGGTGATGCATGAGGGTGAGGTGATGCATGAGGGTGAGGTGATGCATGTAGGTGGAATGCATTCATAGTGATATGAGACATAATTGGTGAGAGAAATTCTGACCCAAAGAACAGTTTGTGGCAGGCAGTATGCGTGTTGCACAGGTGCTTGCATATGTGTTGCACAGGTGCTTGCATATGTGTTGCACAGGTGCTTGCATATGTGTTGCACAGGTGCTTGCATATGTGTTGCACAGGTGCTTGCATATGTGTTGCACAGGTGCTTGCATATGTGTTGCACAGGTGCTTGCATATGTGTTGCACAAATGCTTGCATACGTGCTCTCGTGCGCCTGTGCGCTGTGTGGGAGAAATTGAGTTGGGATGCGAGAAATGGAGGGTGGTGTGGGTAGGGAGAGGGATGATATATGCCACCACACCCCAATGCGTGCCACCACACCCCAATGCGTGCCACCACACCCCAATGCGTGCCACCACACCCCAATGCGTGCCACCACACCCCAATGCGTGCCACCACACCCCAATGCGTGCCACCACACCCCAATGCGTGCCACCACACCCCAATGCGTGCCACCACACCCCAATGCGTGCCACCACACCCCAATGCGTGCCACCACACCCCAATGCGTGCCACCACACCCCAATGCGTGCCACCACACCCCAATGCTTGCCACCACACCCCAATGCGTGCCACCACACCCCAATGCGTGCCACCACACCCCAATGCGTGCCACCACACCCCAATGCGTGCCACCACACCCCAATGCGTGCCACCACACCCCGCACCCCATTGTGCGACATGCCTTGCACGGTACCACATGCCTTGCACGGTACCACATGCCCTGCACGGTACCACATGCCTTGCACGGTGGCAGGCGGGTTCAAGCTGTGGGAGGCGACGGTGGACCTGATAGAGGCAGTGCGGCAAGACATGCGGGACGGCACCCTCTCCTTCCGCCGCAAGCACGTGCTCGAGGTGAGGTGCGCCCTGCAAGCACGTGCTCGAGGTGCGCCCTGCACCGCACTGCACTGCACTGCACTCACCCCTTTGGCCCACTCAAAAGTTTGATGCTTGTCTGTTTCGGGCTTTTCTGCTTGGCAGAGCTGCAGCTTGCCCGCCTGTCCTCTCCCACCTTCACCCACTCTCGCATCCGTCCACCTCTCCCTCCCTCCCTCCCTCCCTCCCTCCCTCCCTCCCTCCCTCCCCTCCCTCCCTCCCTCCCTCCCTCCTCCCTCCCTCCCTCCCTCCCTCCCTCCCTCCCTCCCTCCCTCCCTCCCTCCCTCCCTCCCTCCCTCCCTCCCTCCCTCCCTCCCTTCCCCGTTCCCCTTTCCCCCCTGTCCCGCTTGCCCCGCATCCACCCCCCGCGCATCAGCTGGGCTGTGGGCACGGGCTGCCGGGCATTCTCGCCTGCCTCAAGGTGACCTGCCCCCACATGCCACCTCGCCCTCACATGCCACCTCGCCCTCACATGCCACCTCGCCCTCACATGCCACCTCGCCCTCACATGCCACCTCGCCCGCACATGCCACCTCGCCCGCACATGCCACCTCGCCCTCACATGCCACCTCGCCCGCACATGCCACCTCGCCCGCACATGCCACCTCGCCCTCACATGCCACCTCGCCCGCACATGCCACCTCGCCCTCACATGCCACCTCGCCCGCACATGCCACCTCGCCCTCACATGCCACCTCGCCCTCACATGCCACCTCGCCCTCACATGCCACCTCGCCCTCACATGCCACCTCGCCCTCACATGCCACCTCGCCCTCACATGCCACCTCGCCCGCACATGCCACCTCGCCCGCACATGCCACCTCGCCCACACATGCCACCTCGCCCTCACATGCCACCTCGCCCGCACATGCCACCTCGCCCTCACATGCCACCTCGCCCGCACATGCCACCTCGCCCTTACATGCCACCTCGCCCGCACATGCCACCTCGCCCGCACATGCCACCTCGCCCTCACATGCCACCTCGCCCGCACATGCCACCTCGCCCTCACATGCCACCTCGCCCTCACATGCCACCTCGCCCGCACATGCCACCTCGCCCGCACATGCCACCTCGCCCTCACATGCCACCTCGCCCTCACATGCCACCTCGCCCTCACATGCCACCTCGCCCGCACATGCCACCTCGCCCGCACATGCCACCTCGCCCTCACATGCCACCTCGCCCTCACATGCCACCTCGCCCTCACATGCCACCTCGCCCTCACATGCCACCTCGCCCTCACATGCCACCTCGCCCTCACATGCCACCTCGCCCTCACTGTGCAAGCTGGCCCTTGTTTCATCGCTACAACACACCACTGCTTGCCGCATCTCTTACTGCCACGTCCACCTACTGTCAACCTGTCTCTCTGTATTTAAACTCAGTACCTCCCACTCACTTATGAGTTCTACAAACCCGTTATCCTCTGTCCCCTTCTGTGTCCGCTTTCGTAGTTTCCTCTTCCAGTTCCCTCTTTCACTTAAGACTTCCCTCCTTCACTTTAGACTTCCCTCATTCACTTTAGACGTCCCTCGTTCATCCCTTGGGTTTAGTGCAAATATTCGCACTGCCTTGCTCTGCCTTTGCAAATATCCGCTCTGCCTTGCTCTGCCTGCGCTGCCCGCTCCTCGTCCAGGACTCCATCACCCACCTGCCCACACCCGTTCACTCATGCTCTCCTACCTCTCCTCCTCTTCCCTTCTACCATTCCCCTCCTCTCCCCTTCTCCTCCTCTCCCCATCCCACCTGTTGCTTGGTGCCTCTGTCCCACGGTCCATGGCACGGCGCTGGTGGCGGGGCGGGCAGGGGGCGGCGGTGGTGCATTTCCAGGACTTCAACGCGGAGGTGCTGCTCAACCTCACCATCCCCAACCTAACCGCCAACCTCGCAGCCGCCACCGCTCCCCCGCGCGAGCGCAGGGAGCACAATGCGGGCAGTGGGGGTGGGGGTGGGGGGGCTGCGGGCGACAGAGAGGGGGCGTCGTCGCGGTGCTCACCGCCAGTGACGCCCAAGTCGCCCCTGCCTGACCTGCGCGCGCGCTTCTTCGCTGGCGACTGGGCGGCCATGGATGGCCTCCTCTCCCTCGCCCATCCCCCCTCCCCCCCGCTCTCTCTCCCTCCAACTGCTGCCGCTGCCACTGATACTGCTGCCACTGATACTGCTGCCACTGATACTGCTGCTGCTGATACTGCTGCTGCTGATACTGCTCCTGCTGTTACTGCTCCTACTGATGCTGCTGCTGGTGGTACTGCTGCCAATGATACCACTGCTACTGATACTGCTGCCGCCGATACCACGGCCACTCAAGCGGCTGCTACGGATGTCACAGCCGACAGTGCCTCACAGGCCTCCCCAAGTGCGCCCGCCAGCACAGGCGGCAGCAAGGAGGTGAAGCAGGCGCGGCACGGCAGGGTGCACATACAGCCTCCCCCGCCCGCAACCCACATGCCCCTGGACGGTGCATCTGCCACGCCCTCCTTCTGTGCATCGCCGGGTGGCACCGCGGCATTGGATCACGGGTTTGGGAGGGCGGGTGGGGGCGGTGGCGGGTACGACATCATCGTGACGGCGGAGACGGTGTACTCGCCGCGCTCCATGGCCAAGCTGCTCGCCCTCGTCTCTAAGGTGCGCTCCCGTTGGTGTTTGCCAGCAACATGTTCTCTCAACGGCAGCTTTAGTTGGCAATGTGCCCCTCCCTTTGTCTCGCCACACCAAGCAGCAGCTCACGGACGAGGGCGTCCTCTGTTTCTAGGCGTGTTAGTTTCCCCTCTGCGTTAGATTCCCCTCTGCGTTAGGTTCTCCTTTGCGTTAGCTTCCCCTCTGCGTTAGATTCCCCTTTGCGTTAGATTCCTCTCTGCGTTAGGTTCCCTTCTTCGTTATATTCCCCTCTGTTAAATTCCCCTCTGTGTTAAATTCCCCTCTGTGTTAAATTCCCCTCTGTGTTAAATTCCCCTCTGTGTTAAATTCCCCTCTGTTAAATTCCCCTGTGTTATATTCCCCTCTGTGTTAAATTCCCCTCTCTGTTAAATTCCCCTGTGTTCAATTCCCCTCTATGTTAAATTCCCCTCCGTGTTAAATTCCCCTCTGTGTTAAATTCCCCGCTGCCTTAGTTTCCCCTCTGTGCTGGATTCCCCTCTGCGTTAGATTCCCGTCTATGTTAGATTCCCCTCTGCGTTAGGTTCCCGTCTATGTTAGATTCCCCTCTGCGATAAATTTCCCTTTGCGCTAGATTCCCCTCTGCGTCATCTCCCCATATTTTTCGCTAACCCCTGCTTGTGTTCCCCCCTTCATGGCCTGGCAGTGTCTGCGGCGGCCGCACGGTGTGCTGTACGTGGCGGGCAAGAAGCATTACTTTGGGGTGGGCGGCGGCACACGCCAGTTCAAGGGCCTCGTGGAGCAACAAGGTGAGAAAGGGAAGAGGGCGAGCAGGAGTAGAGGTGGAGGGGGCGAGATAGCGTAATGTGATTTAACCAAGGGCTTTCTGTTCGCCCTTTGCTCAATTCTGGTCCTCGTGCGTTAATGATTCTTGATGCTCAATACTTGATGCTCCATGCTCAATGCTTGATGCTTGTGTTAGTGTTAGCACTCAGTCTCACCTTTTGTACTTGTTCTTTTTATATCCTACTTTAGTGTAGTTTGCACTTTATATCCTACTTTTTTGTACACCCACATCCCAACCAAACCCAAATGTGATCTCCAAGCAATGTCCAACCCATAAATTGGAGATTGACTTGGAGATACCCCCGATCCCTAGAGATCCCCCCCCGATTGCCTCCCCATCCATACCTTGTTTATTTTGGACGTACTTAAAGCTCAAGGCCCAAATTGCGGGCCGCGCAGGGCAAGATTAGTAATCTTGCACACTTCTCGTTTTCTGTGCTGGTGTGTGGCGAAAATTTGGTTACAGTAGGTGCGATGCAACCTGATTGGTCGAAGCAAGACTCACTGCCAAAACATCGAGTTTTACTACTTTGCAATTTGGGACTGGAGGTCCCCCAATTCATGTTTCCCCCTGAAGTTTGCTGACTCAACGAAAAACACGTGTTTTACGGGCGAAATCAGACAGGTCATCTTCCCAACACTCCCCTCAACTCTTACGTTCCCAAACCCACCCCTCAGCACTCAAACTTACGCAAGATTAATATTGCGCAATTTGTGCCTAGAGCTTTAAGGAGCTACAATATGATTAGATTGTAATTCAAGTTTTCAATTGTAATCCCGAGCACCCCCCGGGCCACCCATCATGACCGAAATATTTATTGGTCGTGCAGGACAGGATGATTCTTAGTAAAGTTCAACGATCTGAACTGCGGGCTTTACTACGAGATGCTTAATGCTCGATTCAAAATGACTGGTGCCTAATGACATGCATGCCGTTTCCATTCGTCTCCCTCCCGTGTTCAACCCATGCATGTCTAGGTTCGTTGCACGGCCACTTGCTCAAGGAGGTTGTGGATGGCTCCTCCAATGTTCGGGAAGTGTGGAAGTTTTTCTACTAGGACTGACCGCCAGGGCTTCAGATTCGTTTTGGGCCACCATTGTTAGTAATCAGGGTTCTATGTATAGTCAACCCTGATGTATAGGGTAATATTTTCTTTTCCCTGACAAATTCAGGGTAAAAAAACTATGAGTTTGTTTGTGAAGGGTAATTTTTTGTTACACTTATGAGTAATTGTTAAAGTAACCCAATATAACTAAAAATTTCTCAGTTGGTAAGATTTCGTATGATCTTGAAGGTTGTACCATATAGTTTCGGCTATAAGACCCGGGGGACTCTCTACAAATGCTTACAAATATGCTTGGGCGGACATTATGGCGGCAGCAATTTTTTTAAGACCCGGAATACTTATTTAACAATTATCCATCTGTTATTTAGGGTGTACGGTTCAGTTTGGGGCGGGGGGGTCTTATATTCGTAACGAATTCGCGAAAATTTTGCGTGTATGGCATGTCAGATATGTGTCGGAATTCGAGTCTGACATAAATGAAGTGTCAGAATTCGAGTCTGAGAGCGTGTTCCTATCAGGCAACCTCGTATCAATTTCGCGTCGAACCGCACTAAAACGCATCCAACCGCAGTCGAACACACTGAAACGCATTTCACCACGCGAATCTGATACGAGGTGTAGGAACACGCTCTGACACAAAAAACGTGTCAGAGTTCGAATTTGTGCCAGTAAAAGCTGACTCACAATAGCAGTAATAACTACTGTATACAGTGAAGGGGGGTCTTATGATGTTTAAAAGCAAGAGGGGGGTCCTCACCAGGCCCTCAGATTGGTTTCAGAGCATGCTGATCGATCAGTGTGCAGTGTCCAAAGTGATGTCCAAATCAGCGTTGGGGGTTAAATTTATGTTAGAACAATAGGTTCGGATGAATGAACTAAGGCAAGAATGTGGTACAAGTATGAAACCCTAAAGGGGTTGTACCCCTTAGTGGCTACCCCACTGTAGCCTACAAAACACAAACAGCAAATATAGTTCAACACACCCCTATAGGCAAAGTGGGGGAGAACAAGCGGTCTCAAGACCAGTCAAGAAAAGCAAAGCAAGCTCAGAGTGGATCACAACGTCACCACACACTCTGAGCACAAGCAAAGAAGGCCACATGGCCAATTCACATGCATTGTTATATAAGAGAGAGCAAACAGAACAGTGATCACTACATAGTTAGTAAAGGCATGCAGGCAGGGCTAACTTTAGTAAAATGAATCGTCTGGCTTTAAGACCGGTTCCTGGCTCTTTGTCTGATTGTCAGACGAAAGATGTAACATTGTTTAGCTTTTCAGACGAATCCTAAGTACTCGCCTGAAATTTTAGATGAAGATAGATAGCTTTCCAGATTAAAATGTTATTTGAAGTGTTAATGTGCAGACTCCGATGGTCTAGTCAGTACTATCGGGACTGTCAGAATCCCAACCACTAACCACTGGGATAAAAGGGCTTGTTTGTGTAGCGGGTGAGTGCGCCCATAACCCCCCAGGCCAACGTGCCTGTAACCCTTCCCTAGGATCAATCGGGGATCACCAGTAGACCTCTGACACCCCCCCGCACTGGGATGCCCGAGGTGCACACACCGGGATTCGAACCCGAGACCTTCGCTCTGATACCATGTTAAAATCTGGCAGCAGGAATGAGTGAACTAACAGCATGCAGGAGTACAAGTAGTAAACCCTAATTGGGTTGTGCACCTCGGGCATCCCAGTGCGGGGGGGTGTCAGAGGTCTACTGGTGATCCCCGATTGATCCTAGGGAAGGGTTACAGGCACGTTGGCCTGGGAGGTTATGGGCGCACTCACCCGCTACACAAACAAGCCCTTTTATCCCAGTGGTTAGTGGCTGGGATTCTGACATGGTTTCAGAGCACTAAGGTCCGTAGGACCGTTTTTTTTCGGGCCCACCTACCGCTGCGGTTACCGCGCTACCCCACGTACCTGCCTGCCTGCCGGCCTGCCTGTCTGCCTGCCTGCCAGCCTGCCGGCCTGCCTGTCTGCTTGCCTGCCTGCCGGCCTGCCTGCCTGCCTGCCTGCCTACCGGCCTGCCTGCCTGCCTGCCTGCCTGCCTACCTGCCGGCCTGCCTGCCTGCCTGCCGGCCTGTCTGTCTGTCTGCCTGCCGGCCTGCCTGCCTGTCGGCCTGCCGCGCCTGCCCTGCCCGCGCTACTGCTGCTGCTACTGCTACTGGCCGGTGGCCAGATGCAGCTCCAGCGACGTTCACGTGAGTCTCTCACGCCCCAGCAGCTTAGTGAGTGGTATACTAGCTGGGGTTGTCGCGGTAGCAGTCGTAGCTGTCCCCCTGGAGCTGGTCAGTTGGGAGCGTCTGGCAGTGGCCAGCTGCAGCTGCAGCGGCGTCCTCGCGAGACACTTACGTCCCGGCAGCTCCACGAGTGGTACGCTCAGTGTAGCAGGTCTACGCGTACAGTTCGCTGCCAGTACGTCATTCGCACAGGTGATCGGGTTGGTCAGCCTTGCGGGACGCTTGGTCACACACAGTCCCGCTGCTTCGCCCGTCTGAGCACAGACTGGCGTACAGTGTTTGGCGACGAGGCTGAGCTCCCCGACTGGCTGGAGCTGCTTGGACGGAGGGTAGATATCTTTGCTCCTGACTATGATGCTATTCTCACTGCCATGTATGCATTGCCTACTAGTGTTGACCGTGCCTGTTACCTGTGCGTCCCGCCTGACCCTGGTATAGCACCTGCTGCTCCCGGTACTGGTGAGGCTGCTGCCCTAGGTGCTCGTGCGTCTCCTCCTCTGGGTGCTGGTGAGGCTGCTGCTCTAGGTGCCGGTACGTCTCCTGCTCCAGGTGCTGGTGAGTCTGCTCTCTCTGGTTCTGCGCCTGCTGCGGCCTTGTACACCTTCACGCTTGACTCAGGTGCTTCCCGCTCCTTCTTTCGCGACTGTACCACACTCACGCCGCTTAGTCGGCCAGTTCCGGTCTCCCTGGCGGACCCCTCCAGAGGTCCAGTCCTTGCCCACTACTCCACGGTTCTGCCGTGTCCGGCCGCCCCGTCTGGCTTGCTGTCAGGTCTTTACCTCCCCTCGTTCTCTACGAACTTGGTGAGTGGAGCTGACCTCCAGGATAGGGGGGTGCACCAGTTCACTCCTGCGAGTCAGCGAGTGACTCACTGTACGTGTGCTCGGACCGGCCGACACCTGGCCACGTTTTCCCGTGCGCTTGGCTCGAGTCTGTACACACTGACCACTAAGTCCCCTCAGGTAGCTGCGTCTGCGTCTGCGTCAGGTCAGCCGACGGCCCCCTGCGAGTGTCGCGCTTTGTCGCACCAGACCCTCCTGTGGCACCACCGCCTTGGTCACCCCTCGGTGCAGCGCCTTCGTGGCATGCACTCTCGCTTCCTGGTTTCTGGTCTGCCCAGGTCTTTGCCTGCCCTGCCTCCCTCGCTTGCGCCGCCCTGCATTCCTTGCGTCGAGGGGCGGCAGCGCGCAGCTCCTCACTCCTCCTCGTTCCCTCCCACAGAGGCTCCCCTGCAGACTCTCCACCTGGACGTGTGGGGCCCAGCCCGCGTCCGTGGACAGGGCCACGAGCGGTACTTCCTGCTGGTTGTTGACGACTACACGCGTTACACCACGGTCTTTCCCCTGCGCAGCAAGGGGGAGGTCCCTGCTGTTTTGATCCCTTGGATCCGCGCTGCCCGTCTCCAGCTCCGCGAGCGGTTCGGGACGGAGTTTCCCGTCCTGCGTCTGCACTCTGACAGAGGTGGTGAGTTCTCCTCAGACCTCTTGGCAGCCTTCTGTGCGGAGCGCGGCATCACCCAGTCGTTCACGCTTCCGGCCTCTCCGCAGCAGAATGGGGTTGCTGAGCGCCGCATTGGCTTAGTCATGGAGGTCGCTCGTACCTCCATGATCCATGCGGCTGCCCCCCATTTTCTGTGGCCGTTTGCGGTCCGGTACACCGCGCATCAGCTCAACCTCTGGCCCCGTGTCTCCTTGCCGGAGACCTCGCCCACGCTGCTGTGGACGGGGAAGGTTGGCGATGCGTCGCGTTTCCGGGTCTGAGGTGCTCGTGCCTTTGTCCGCGATACCACCGCGGACAAGCTCTCCGCCCGTGCTGTTCCCTGTGTCTTCCTTGGCTTTGTCCCTGACGCGCCTGGTTGGCAGTTTTACCACCCCACCTCGCGCCGTGTCTTTGCGTCTCAGGACGTCACGTAACTCTTGTGCAGCCATGGCTGTGGCGTAGATCTCAGCCTCACAACTGGAGCTGAGAATAGAAGACGAGCGGGTAGACCGCCAAGAGACAGAACCAGAACCAAGGCTGAAGGTGTAACCCTGCGACGACCGCTGCGTAGCCAGGTCGTCAACCCAAGAGGCGTCTGAGTGTCCAGTGAGGACAACGTCACCCCGTCCTCCAAGCACCAGCCCCATGCCTGACGTACTGCACAAGTAGCGCAGCACCCTCTTAGCAGCCTCCCAGTGCTCTCGCCTGTGTCTCCCAGGCGCAACGTAGCGAGCAAGGATGCTAAGAGGGTACGCAAGGTCAGGTCGTGTGCAAGTCATCAAGTACATGAGGCAGCCTACAAGCTCTGGGTACGGGCCACTCGGCTCTACGGACTCGTCCGAAGGTGGAGCTGAGAGCGAGTGACCGGTAGACAGAGGAGTGGACTATGGTGAGGAGAACTGGAAGCCGAAGCGCTGAAGGACCTGCTGCACCATGTGTGACTGAGTCAGGGTGATGGTGCGGCGTGCTTTGTCCCGGGTGATCTGCAAGCCAAGGTAGCTGCGCAACTCACCCAGGTCTGTGCACGTGCGTCTCTTCTGCAGCTCCGACTTCACAAGAGCGAGTGCCTCAGTGTCAGCAGTAGCAAAGACCAGGTCATCGATATACACGAGGATGTAGAACGGCGGCAGCGACGTGTCGGTGCGGAGGAACAGCGACGGGTCTGCAGTCGAAGGAGCAAACCCAAGCGCCGCAAGTGTCGTCCTCTGTATGTCGTGCCACTCACGAGGTGACATGCGGAGACCGTAGACTGGGCGCCGGAGGCTC